AAGAGACTGGGAGAGACACAGACGGGGGTGTGTGTGGAATGTGCATTTCCTAGTTCCAAGACAGAAAGTGCTCTGTGGAGGCCGAGGGCTGTGTGTCTCCCCAGCATGTGCAGAGGGACAGATGGGCCTCGGTGTTCTTGTAGCTGTGAACAGTTCACGTTGGATGAAGATGTTAGGAAACGCAGGTGTCAGGATAAATCAGGACACCCCACAGGGATCGAGCTTTGCACCCTCTGAACTTCTCGCCCAAGCACAATTTAGAGCAAACAAGGGGCTAGTCTAAATTACACCCAACTTGAATGGCTGCCCAAAACAGTCAGAACATAGGGCACTTCAGCTTCTATCCCCACAATGCGTGGGCAGCAATGAAATCCAGATAAGATTGCCCTTGGAGCCCTGTACCCATGGATTCCCCATCCCACCTCCCCACTGGGATTTTGACAGCATATGGGACTAGAATACAGCCCAGAATCAGGTACAAAACACCCTGTAATACAAAGTATGGGAACTCCGGCAGAATTCCTCTTTCTGAAGTATCTTTTCCCCCTCTAAATGGTCGAGCAGGGGTTAAAAATCACTGTCCGGACTCTCAAGCGGCAGCTCCATTGACAGCAATGTCTCCCACCTGTGAATCAGGTCAGTCCGCTTAGCTTTGCGAAACATTAAGCGTCAGTCCCTTTGTCTACTAAAAATACAATTTTCCTTTTACCTTTTCTGCTAATTTTTTGTCCCTTCGGCTGGAACAATGTAACTAGCGCAGCCGAATCACTCGCCCTTTTGTTTGGATTCAGCGCCTCGTCCACTCCCCTTCCTCGGACTCAGGGTTCAGCAAGGGGCTTCGTTGTTATACAGGCATCACCAGCAGGGACCCCTCTTTCTCACTGAGCATCCTAGGGGCAGCCTCTGCTCACCAGTCCCTGCACCCTTTGGCTTGTGTGGGCTGCAGAGGAAAAGTTCAATCCACAACAACCAATTGTTTTGTCTATGGAAAGGTTTGGATTTTGATGTTTAGCAAGATCCTTTCAAATAGCCCCAAACCTACCTTCTGAACTGCCGCTGGCTCCAGCCCACGTCCAACTGGGGCTGGGGGTCTCTATTTCCCTAAATCCTAGGGACCCTGGTTCCCTGTCCCGACTTACTCCAGGGAAAGGCCCGACCCAAAAAACAATCCTTACTCTGGAAACACATTTACTTACACGCCTGATTGCCCATAAGCACCTGTTGCAACCGCATTGAAACAAGCCCCCTTAAATACCAAGTTAAGTGCTTTTCTGGGTCTGGTGTAAGTGGGATGAAGCCAGGCTAATTCAACCTGTCCAAGCCCCTTTTCTATCTGTGCATCCAGCTGCCTGGGCAAATTTTCCTCATGGCTCCGGGTCCTAAGTGAGAGAAGGAGCCAAGCACCCAGCATTCCCGCTGCCCTGCTGTACTCCGTAGGCCCTGCCCCTGCCATTGACTGTATTTCATTTCTTTTGCTTAACTTCAAGCTTAAGCCTTTGAGGCAGGGAGGATTTTAGACAGGGGCCCCTCCCGCCTCGGCTGCCTTCTGGTGGTGGGGGAACGGACACCTGGCTACTGCAGGGTGGATGAAAAACCTGCCAGAAATTGGGGGCACAGAGAAACCAGGTCCTGGGGGGTGGAAGTTCAGAGGCAGGGGCTAGGGCAGGTCGTGAACCCCTGGGCACCTGGGGGAGGAAGGTGAAAGGCAGGGCCTGCTGCCAGCTCCCCACCCCCGTCCCATGCCCAGTGCCACGGTACCCCCTCCCATGCCCAGGTACCCCCATGCCCAGTGCCACGGTACCCCCTCCCATGCCCAGGTACCCCCATGCCCAGTGCCACGGTACCCCCTCCCATGCCCAGGTACCCCCATGCCCAGTGCCACGGTACCCCCTCCCATGCCCAGGTACCCCCATGCCCAGTGCCACGGTACCCCCTCCCATGCCCAGGTACCCCCATGCCCAGTGCCACGGTACCCCCTCCCATGCCCAGGTACCCCCATGCCCAGTGCCACGGTACCCCCTCCCATGCCCAGGTACCCCCATGCCCAGTGCCACGGTACCCCCTCCCATGCCCAGGTACCCCCATGCCCAGTGCCACGGTACCCCCTCCCATGCCCAGGTACCCCCATGCCCAGTGCCACGGTACCCCCTCCCATGCCCAGGTACCCCCATGCCCAGTGCCACGGTACCCCCTCCCATGCCCAGGTACCCCCATGCCCAGTGCCACGGTACCCCCTCCCATGCCCAGGTACCCCCATGCCCAGTGCCACGGTACCCCCTCCCATGCCCAGGTACCCCCATGCCCAGTGCCACGGTACCCCCTCCCATGCCCAGGTACCCCCATGCCCAGTGCCACGGTACCCCCTCCCATGCCCAGGTACCCCCATGCCCAGTGCCACGGTACCCCCTCCCATGCCCAGGTACCCCCATGCCCAGTGCCACGGTACCCCCTCCCATGCCCAGGTACCCCCATGCCCAGTGCCACGGTACCCCCTCCCATGCCCAGGTACCCCCATGCCCAGTGCCACGGTACCCCCTCCCATGCCCAGGTACCCCCATGCCCAGTGCCACGGTACCCCCTCCCATGCCCAGGTACCCCCATGCCCAGTGCCACGGTACCCCCTCCCATGCCCAGGTACCCCCATGCCCAGTGCCACGGTACCCCCTCCCATGCCCAGGTACCCCCATGCCCAGTGCCACGGTACCCCCTCCCATGCCCAGGTACCCCCATGCCCAGTGCCACGGTACCCCCTCCCATGCCCAGGTACCCCCATGCCCAGTGCCACGGTACCCCCTCCCATGCCCAGGTACCCCCATGCCCAGTGCCACGGTACCCCCTCCCATGCCCAGGTACCCCCATGCCCAGTGCCACGGTACCCCCTCCCATGCCCAGGTACCCCCATGCCCAGTGCCACGGTACCCCCTCCCATGCCCAGGTACCCCCATGCCCAGTGCCACGGTACCCCCTCCCATGCCCAGGTACCCCCATGCCCAGTGCCACGGTACCCCCTCCCATGCCCAGGTACCCCCATGCCCAGTGCCACGGTACCCCCTCCCATGCCCAGGTACCCCCATGCCCAGTGCCACGGTACCCCCTCCCATGCCCAGGTACCCCCATGCCCAGTGCCACGGTACCCCCTCCCATGCCCAGGTACCCCCATGCCCAGAGCCATGGTACCCCCTTCCATGCCCAGGTACCCCCCATGCCCAGTGCCATGGTACCCCCTCCCATGCCCGGTACCCCCATGCCCAGTGCCATGGTACCCCCTCCCATGCCCGGTACCCCCATGCCCAGTGCCATGGTACCCCCTCCCATGCCCGGTACCCCCATGCCCAGTGCCATGGTACCCCCTCCCATGCCCGGTACCCCCATGCCCAGTGCCATGGTACCCCCTCCCATGCCCGGTACCCCCATGCCCAGTGCCATGGTACCCCCTCCCATGCCCGGTACCCCCATGCCCAGTGCCATGGTACCCCCTCCCATGCCCGGTACCCCCATGCCCAGTGCCATGGTACCCCCTCCCATGCCCGGTACCCCCATGCCCAGTGCCATGGTACCCCCTCCCATGCCCGGTACCCCCATGCCCAGTGCCATGGTACCCCCTCCCATGCCCGGTACCCCCATGCCCAGTGCCATGGTACCCCCTCCCATGCCCAGGTACCCCCCATGCCCAGTGCCATGGTACCTCTCCCAGTCCCAGGTACCCTCTCCCATGCCCCATGCCAGCACGGGGGCCCATGCCCACTCCAGCGCTCCTGGCAGACACCCACCCTCCTCCACCTGCCTGGCTTCCTAGGGGCATCTGCTTTGCTCTCAGATCTCTCAGCTCCGTCTGTCCCTGGCCCCAGAGCCTCCCTGCGGGATACTCAAACTTCACCATTCACCTTCCTCTGGGGCAGAGCCCGCCCTGCCAGCAGGGACAGTGGCCAGATGGAGAGGAGTCCTCCCCAGCCCAAAGCACAGCTGGTCTCGCCACACCCTGTGATGTCCATTGGGACCCCTGTAGGGCCATTCTCCAACCCAGCTGTGCTGGCAGCCTCGGAGCTCCTCTCCCTGTCTGGGCAGCTCTTCTCCAACGTCTCAAGTCTGATTTCTTGAGGCAAAACAAGGCGTTAGCCCAGGTTTGCGTGGGCAGGGGGGTGACAGCTGAGTGCTGTCCGTGGTGGGTGGAATCTGTGAGACACCTTCATTCAAGTGCAGGGCTCTTGATTTAGAGGGTTAAGTTGAGACTCCTGCTGCTTATGGCCCTCAGGCCCATAACGGCCCCTGTCACAAGTTGGCAATAGGGACTGATGCTGAGCCTCCTTTCCTCCCCCACCCCCCGCCCACACACACACTCCTTCTGGGTACTGGGTGCCTTGGCTGACCCAGGAGAAGGAGCACTGCTACTGCCTACCCACTGGAAAACACCTAGCCAGCAGCCCCTCTTGTATCATCCCCCCCATGGGTTCTCCAGAGCAGGCCCGGTGGAGGAAGAGGCCAGGCAGGATGGAGGAGTCAGGGGGCTCAGACAATCCACGATGGTAGAGGGATGCAGATGTGGAACTAGGTGTCTATTGGGGGATGGGTTTTGCAGTTGTCAATGCTTTCTGGCCAAGCCTCTCAATGAAATTCATAAGCACCGGACTGGTTTGTGACCCCTCCCCCCTCCTCTTCTCCTACTTTCTGCTTAAGCACCACACCAGCTGACAGCCAGAAGGGCCTGGGGTGGAACTGTGGAAGTGTCTCCTACTCTAGCATCCTCCTACAGATCCCCCCCCAAAGGCCCTGTGGGGGAGATATGAAGCCAGTCTGTAGAAGCTGCCTCTGACTCCCCGCTACGGCTGCCTCTGCAGTGATAGAGGCCCAGACAGAAGCAATGTAGCTTCTGCTTCAGCCAAGGTGCCCGGCG